GAAGAATACATGCACCGTACTAACTGCTACGGCAGTTATTTTCTCCTTTGAATACTGCCCACCTGCAATAATGATTCCGTAACGTACTCCTTGCGCTATCTTTTGACCATTTGTCAACTTTTCGTTTCGTAGCTGACACGGTACAACACTTTTCTTTCGCTTACTTCACACGGCCAGTCATTTTGTTTACAAAGAAATGGTGTGCTATGCGCATGCGCTAATAGAGGGAAATCCCTGAACAAAACGTTGGTCAGACAGGTAGAAATACCGATGATTTTCTTAGATTTAATCATTTTTATGAATCTATTTCAGCCAAATCCGATCGTTATTTTCCATAAGGAGTTTCATTTGATATGTTTATGTAGTATTTGAAAAAAAGGCAAAAAAATAAAGTTACTTCACCGTGATGCCCCTTTAAAGCAAATCTGACTTACCGGGTACCTGAAGTCAAGTAAATACCATCAATATGATCATATATAACCATGGCAGGGGTGTGTTATGTGGAGTTATAACTACCATATAATGTTAAAATGTTATAAAACCATTACCCTTCTGTCGGTCATCCCTGTGGTCAGATCCTTTTCTCTTGCTTGATGTTCTAGATCGGTCACCACCCATGATCACTGGTCAATGTTACGGCCAATATCTCAATCTAGAAACAGGAACAAAAACCTATTACAATAGATTAATAATTTTTTTCATTTAAAAAAAAACCTGGTTCAATATATACCATAGTGTTGGGAATGTTGTGAAATCCCCTTTTCCCCAAAAAGTTAAACCTCCCAACCAGTATGAGCAAACCTCCACTAGCCTGATATGTATGTGTTCATAGTAAATATTGAAAATGTTCGTTAGCCCTAATAACATGAGCTAGCTATATAGGGGATCAATCTTGTAGAATTGTACACTAATGCACATATAAGTATTACAGTCTGTATATATAAAAAAACAACACTGTATACTATAAAAAAAAATACCTGGTGTTTTTATAGTACATGTATACACTATACAGGGTATTTTTTTTATATATATACAGACTGTTATACTTATGTTGATTAAACGTCAACTCCTGTGATCAAGCAGTTGAAGGTAATGAAAGATTTGTTGCTGCAAAGTCTGTTCAGCAAATTCAATAAAAAAAAACTAAAAATGTGTGGCGAGACGTGTTGTGTTATCTTACATTGTTAATTTTTCATTAAATCCACCATTGACTTTAATATGTGGTAGTTATCTCCCCTTCCCCCTCAGGTCCCTAATCACCAGTACAGTAACACTACTCACTGTACACACCGAATCCATTTTATTTTTTTACATGGTCATTTGATCATGATTACACAGGAAAGGGGATTAGTATTGGGCTGTAACATGTGATTTCTTACACACACTTTCCCGTTGTGATGTATGTCCATTATGTGGTAAAACCGGAGTGATCAGCTGGTGATAAATACGAGGCAACGAGCACACAGACACACCATTTCTACTAAATAGCCACAAATAGTTCATATAAGATAAACATCATAATGGAACCGTTCACGATCAAACGGGAACCTACAAACCATTATCGACATAAGTAATTACTTTAGAGTAAAAAAACCTTTAAAATGTTAGAAACAGGAGATGACATCGGGTCATGTTCATAAAAACTGAGTCAATATTATCAACTTGACTCAAGTTACATCTGATTCATCGATCAAATCATTTGATTTGTTAAGCATGTCGCATGCAATAAAATAGTAGTAATGTAAATGGTAATTACGTACTGTCTATATAGTATTTACAAGATCGAAACTGCATTTCCCGCCATGTTGGTTTCTTCATAACAGTATTAAAACCGGAAGTCAACTTTATCCAATCAACATCTCCAATTTTCAACTATGACCTCAAAACATTACAACGCATTGTGTGCTTACTTTTAGCTTTCTTTGTTAAGAGATTGACGGTTTCATGCTTTTTTTTTGTTTTGTTACTACAGTTTTAAAAGTAAAAGTTCTGAAGTGTTAAATATAGTCTAAATATTAATTCATTGCAGTTACTTTCTCTAAGTTAAATTCAAGTTAAAAAACACTATCTAAAAAGAGTTGTCTTGAAAAGAGTTTGAAAACGAATTTGTGTATTTCTAACTATGGCTTCTACATCGTTCTTTTAACTTATACCAATTAAAAGTTTTGCTATGTTTTATACCCAGCCATTCATCATAACTGAAGAAGTACATGTATGTTTATAATGATACATTAATACCTTTAGGGGACCCATTGGAAATAAGGTTTCTACTATGCATGGCTTTGATGGGCTATCCCTGGGTAAGACTATATACGTAAATTATAGATATCAACTTGTAAATTACCCACAGATATAAACAAAACTGTTCTCTGTGACTTTTCACGAATAAATATAATTATTATTAGCTCTGAGGTGATTTCTGGAGTATCCAAAAACACACCCGTACAGTCCGAGGCCTAGGTCCTAACTGATGTCACAAAGCGTTATCATTTTGTTAAGTACATTTACACAATACAGGTTATTCGATATGATATGTCTTGAGGGACATCTGCAATTCATAGCAATTGTCTTTTAAAAGACAATTAACATGTCCTTTGTCCAAGACTGAATGCAGTGTCTGGCCGGTAATTATAAGACCAATTAATCTTGTTACATAGATTAAAAGGTATATGATATGCTTACAATTGACATAATTAATGCACAAGCTAATAATGATTCAAACGAATTATACATGGCAACTTCAAAGGAAAAGCTTGGTAAATTGAACTAATCTAAATTGATAAAAGTTTGCGAGAGTAAATGAAACATAGAATTTACATAAAATAGTTTCCAATGCGTAAAAAATCTACAAGAGGAAAAGTAAGCGTAATAAAAACAATAAATCGAACTCAAAATCGATCAAACTGGTGCAAAGTATTAGCAAATACACGGAGACCCTTGGAAACGTACAACGAGAGTAAGACCAGGTGTTTCAGGGGGTAAGCGTCTTCTGTTTTTATGTCGAATCCAAGTAATTGTCACATCCTTACACAGACGGATCGGGTAGTGACAACAAAACCACAAGGCACTCTGGTAAGTATTATAAAAAGCATCGACCGTCAAATCACATAAAGAAATATAATACTTCCCTGTGAGATTTTGATGGCGACCATAACACTTGTACAAAGTCTTCATCAACCTGCGTCTTTTGAAAACCTGTGTTGTAAGTTTGTCCGTCAGCAGTCGACATGTATCACGATAGTCGTGATATTTGGAGCAAGCTCTTGAGCACCGAATCAACTGCGACATGTAGATACCGTAAGTAGGGGATACACGGATGTTACTATCAAGAAAAGGAAGTTCATAGTAGGAAAGTCGAAATCGTACAGCTTAGTGGTGAGCTGTCCCTGTTGGTTATATTGCAAGTAAAGATCGGGTAAAGCGGTTGAAGTAGAAGAATCCTTGGTGTCCTTGATTCTGGAGGGTTTTTCTTGTTGTTCAAAGACAGACCATCGTCGATATATCTGAATGTGAAATTGAAGGTCTAGGTTTTTATTACTAGTCCTGATAAGCTCATCAATACATTCAGCTTCATATAAAAACAGAAACAAATCGGCCAAAAGAGGGGCACAGTTTGTTCCCGTTGGAATGCATGTAGTTTGCTGGAAAATGTTGCCACCGAACTCAACAAAAATATTGTCAAACAAGAAATCAATCATTCTCACAATATTGCCTCAGTGTCTTCACTTTGCCCCTATTCGCCTTTGTTGTACCCTTTACAAAATAGGCTCCAAATTATTTACAACCATACATTTATACGTTATTTTACCTTTAATTACTGAACATTTCAGTATCCCGCAACAAGTTGTAGCTCACCCAACTTCTACACTCATACTAGAGCATCAGTTGTTCTTCGTCAACATTGTTCACAAATAAAACAGTTGAAACTAAATTCTTTGCTGGCAAATAATTGTAATCTCCCCATTTCATGATGCTAATCTGCTTATATATCAATACATATTTTGAATACATATAAAAACATATTAGAAGCCAAATTATGTAGATTTCTGGAAGTCATTCGTACTTATTTCATGCTTGATAATACGCACAAGTGTTAAGTGTGTAGGTCACCTCAGGCTAATGCGCACTCATGATAAAATTTGACGATCTGAGACTGATGGGATAAACCCTGTATACATCTATGGCGGTACTAGATGCAAAACCAGCTCCATCGTCAATTAGGTTCCTCCTACATTGGTCGTTTCGGCGCTTCCACGACGACCTCCGAAGGTGCGCCGGCTGAGGTGATCAGTCTCAACCTGGAACTGGTCAGCTTCGTCGCCACGTTTTGTGGGTGGTCTGATGCAGTGTACACAGATTACACTGTCCATAACCTACGATGTTAAAGTTCATTGCCACTGCTACACGCATCACTGACTTGCCCTCTTCCACTCTCTGTCTCGAATCCTCCAAATCCACAGGGACGATGTTTCTGCTTCCCTGCCTGCTTTCCCACATACCTGTCTTCTCTCCTGACCCGTCACACCAAGGGTACCTATTGCTTTCCACAACGAGGGGCCCGCAAACCCTCTGTAGCCCACTTCCACAGGCATGCACCATGTCCGGCAGCCCGTCTCGTAACAGTTCCTGACCAGATCTTCATATTTGGCTATCTTCCTTTCATGAGCTGCCTCAATCCTTTCCTCCCATGGTACAGTCAGCTGCAGGATCACAACCTGCTTTGTTGTCCGTGACCAGATGACAATATCAGGACGCTGAGTTGTGACAGCAATCTCTGCCGGGAACGACAATCTCCCTTTCAGGTCTACCGTCATCTGCCAGTCTGCTGCTGTACCAAAGACCCCTCTAGCCTGATCTACACATTTTCCTTGCTGTCCTTCTTTGATGAAATTCAGGAATCTTAAACTGGATGTTCTTGTTGTCTTTTCCCTCCCTTCTTTTCCAGGGAATCGGCAATAGTTGCCAGGACGTTGTCATGCCTCCATGTGTATCGACCGTCTCCTAAAGCCACTTGACAAGATGAAAGCACATGTTCAAGATTACTGATTCTTCCACAAACCTTGCGCGTTTGATCATCAGTAAGTCCCCATGTCCACAGGTTTGTTGGGTTTGGTAACACATCATACACCGCACTCAACAGAAACTTTATCCTCGCTGTTTCCATGGAACAGACGTCACTCCATTTCAAGGTCTGCTTTCTAGCTCCCTCTCAGTTCATCCAGTTGCCTTAATTTCTCATTGCACCTGTGCTTGATTGCATTTCTTCCTCCTCGATCGATCTTACCTTCCTCTGAATCATCTCTTTTCTCCTTTTCCTTGAACCTTTCCATCTGTCTCTAGTGCTTGTACCCAGTCCTTGTCTACCAGATGCCACTGTTCCGATTCTGCCTGTTCAATTGCTTTCCCTGCCTTCCACTTTCTGCCAGTTCTTACTTTCACCTTCGCCTTTCTGACCTTCTCGTCTACACTATCTTCCAGTATCATCTGTTGTCTGACCTTGGTGATCTTGAACTCCTCTGTGATGGAATTGAGTGGAAGCTGTAGCTTGTTACTTTTCCCTTACAGTCCTATACTGCTGAAGCTGCGAGGAACTACAAGCCATCTGCGAAGTTGTTTGTTGACCATTCCCTCTATTTCTTCCACTGCTGTAAGAGGCACCTCGTATATAAGCAGAGGCCATAGTAGCCTTGGGAGCACGCCATGCTGATACATCCAAGCTTTATACTTTCTAGGCAGCTTGCTCGTATCTACTGCACTCATCCAGTCTTCTGCTTGTGTCTTAAGGTTTCTCCCATTGTCATGGTCATTGAGCGTGTCATCGGACCACTTTCCTAAACATTTCACTGGCTTCTCATTCATCGTTGGTATCTCTTCTCCTTGGATCGTAAACTTAAACTGCTGTACCTTGCCCTTCTAAGCATTATACTCCTTGACTTCGCTGGTTTGAACTTCATTCGCACCCAATGGACCATCTCCTCCAGATCGTTCAGTAGACATCGTCCTTCGCTGACCGTTTTCGTTGTTAAAGTCATGTCATCCATAAAGGCCCTTGTTGGTGGCTGCCTTATCCCGGTTGACAAGTAAGGCCCTCATCTTCTCCACTGATTTGACAATGAGATTCATTGCAGCTGCAAAGAGAGGGACTGAGATAGCACAGCCTGTGTGTGACGTCACTATCCCAACCTCAAGTCTCGGCCTCAGTCGAAGCTTGTCAAAATATCCTTTCAACATCTCTATGAACCACCCTGGAATATGGTATCTTACCAGCGTGAAGTTCACCATTTTGTGTGGCACTTATCCATAAGCGTTAGACAGGTCAAGCCAAACCACAGCTAGTTCTCCTTTGTTCCCCTGGCATCTCTGATGATCTCTGATACCACACTGGTATGTTCCAGACAGCCCGATATTCCAGGAACTTCATCATAATAAAGTATCCGAGGGATCTTTTCAATTGTCTATCTAGGTTCCTTTTGACTTGGTATTTAGTTATATCATGTAAAAAAGATGGTTCCAGACTGATATCTAATTGAATATGACTCTTTAAACTTGTAATCACTGACTTTCAGAAAGTATATTACAGATCTTTCTATTGTATTCCAGTTTCAGTTTCAAGCAACCTGACTAGAAGGAAAATATGACCGCATGAAATCATAAATATATAATGGTCTTTTCATGCATTTTTTTATAACAGGTAAAACGACAAACTTTCACTGAAAGGACAATGTCAATTTCAAACACAGCATAATGAAGCTTTAATCAATGTGCATTTTTTCGTTGACCAATCAATACAATAGCTAAGAGAAATGAAGGTGAAAGGTCAAACTGGTAGAGAGTCATAGAAGATCTTATCATGGTGGACGCCAATATCCCTTTATGCATGCAGCAATATGTTTTTTTCGAAACCATCGGGATATCATATAGTGTTTTCCGTGGTCGGACCTTCTAGCTTACTTCCTTTACGAGATACGGATGACGAGCTTTTTACTTGAGTCACAAAGGGTTTTCATAGATTTTTCTGGGAATGTGGGAAAGGAAATGTATTTCATAATGACACAAGACGTGGTTTCTTTTGCTGAAACGCATTTATTAGAAAGGCCCACGCAAAGATATTTTTTTGAGAAAAAACAAACAAAGAAATACAAGTGAACGTCAGATACTAGTAAATAGTTTTGTGTGTTTAATTTAGATAATGTTCTTTTTCCTTGTGACATCATCATCCGAAGTACAATACAATACAATACAATACAATACAATATATTTTATTATTATAGTGACATGTGCATACATCAAAATTACATACGTGTACAATTTTTCACATATTATTTTAGCACCCGACCCAAAGGGTCTATAGGTCACTTTAACTTAAATTTACCTTCAAAATATCACTTGCGTCATTGGTTAAATACCAATTAAATTATATACTTGTAGATTGAGACAAAATCTTAATTTTTACGAAATAATACATTTTTTCTTTTATCAAATATTTTCGACAGATATTTTGCTGTTTGCCTGGGAAAGTCATTTACTAATATTTTAAACAGTTCGATGTTTGATTGATGTTGAAAGGTTATACTTGTGTTAAGAAGTAGGTCATTTCTCTCATTATCATAAAGTGAACAGTTTAACAGAAAATGTGTTTCGTCCTCCACCGCTCCAGAGTTGCACAAAGTACATACACGGTCATTTACAGGTTCATTTGTATACCGTCCTTAGTCTCCACTCGCAATGGGAGTACACCACACCTTAATTGTGCCATGATTGATCTCTCGGATTTTGCAAGGTTTATTGACACATGGTAAATGGATGTAAGATAAAAAAGCGAATTAATTACTATCCTATAAATAAGAAACAAGCGGACGTAAAAAGGAAACTGGATAAGTACTTGTGTGATCACATTATTATTATAGCAGGTGTTCTAATTTACAACACAAATGTCTGTATTTTACACTGACTGTGTCGCAGATGTACTGTGTATTAAATCACGTGATACGACCCAAATAGCCTTGTGTCGGAAATAAACTTCCGATTAAAATTGAAGTAAAAAGAAATAAATATTATATATATATATTTCTATGGAAAGATTTAAATTCCAATGACTTATACTTATGTAAAGTATAAGCGTGTGATGTCTTTTCCCGACTGAGACTTTCCTCATCAGGAGCAGGGCTACGTTATTATCATGCATACTCGAATTCACGAGAAGTCACGATTGTCAATTATGTGTTCGACTGGGTCAGAGGTCATGTATTCACAATTAACGTGCTATACAGAAATTGATAATGATCTAAGTTGCGTCACTAGATTTGTTAAACGACTTGATAATTCACTTATGAATTAGAATTAACAAAACATTATCGTAATAGTGGAAGAAGCGTGCCACAATTTAACAAGAAATATCGTCATTTCATTTTAAAGTGTCCAATTAGGCTATGCCTGAGTTTATGTAAATCTTCGAATTATTTACGAATTAATTACGTAAGAAATATCAGTTTTATCCTGCCTATAAGAAAAGGGAGAGAAAGTTAGCGTTATGGCACTTTTAAATGATATAGACTTTTCCATAAAGTTACAATAGTTAATAATAGACACGACAATATGTTTTGTTACGGCCCATTTATGTGAACTAAATATTGATCATTTTGACGGACAGCTAGGCGGCTAAATAGGAATTTCTGAAATTACGTTCAGAGATGGTAACATCGGAGTACCACTTTGTAAATCATGTGAATTGCTCAGTTTCATACTCGTGGACAAGCCCGAAATAGAATGAGATCGCTTTCGTGACTTCAATTTGTCCTTCAGTGTTCTTCGAAACTTCTCGCTCAGTCCGAGACAAATTGCAAAATTGGCGGGAAAACTCAGAAACAAAACAAAATTTACTAGAGTAACTGTCACTTTCGTTTCACGCAAAGTAAAGATGCGGTAACCCGTGTTTGTTTGTATAAACATCAAAAACAGAATTGTGGCTACAGGTATTTGTACCAAAACACAGAAGCTACACAACGTCAGCAACATGACTGTAGTGCGCATGCACTCCCGGAAGTCGGATTGACTCATAGCTGCGTTTCCGCTTATGAGCTTGCGTCGGTATCTGTAGCTTTCACACGTCTTCCTCAACAGTAACATATTGAACAGCAACAATAGGGATGTGGGTAGAAGCTCAGCGACAATCAGCCTCGTCCATAAATAGGCTTTCAAGCCGGTTAGATAATTATCTTTTTCAGTTTTGAAAACTATGGAACAGGTATCGACATATTTCACACCGGAAGTAGCGAAGAGTTCCTTCCCCACCACACGTACCGGCTCTAGGTCCTCAAGCAGCAAAATGGTCGACTGCATTACTGTTGTGATAACCAAAATAACGAGAAGGCAAATTGTCACGGCTTTGTAAGAGGATGTGAACTGGCTCACGCGAGGGTGGCACAACCCTATGTAACGATGGGCTGCTAATGCCACAGTGAGCCACAATGAACTGTTGTGGCACACGGTAGGAAGAACCAGAGCCGTGTATTTGTAAACCACACACCAAGAAAACGGAACATACTCATTGTAACCACCTGAGGTGTAGAAAAACAGGTACCATGGCAACGGCAGGAGGATGGTCATTGTATCCAGTACAGCAATAGAGCACAATATCATGTTTGTAGGGGATCTTGTTCTTCTACTCGACAAGATGACAACCAACAGAGTGTTGAGGAGTAACACTAACATACACAGAGCAGGAGTGACGTAACCATACAAAACCACGCCCACATCCAATGCCGTCGCTTTGCCAACGTCAAACACTTTCAATTTCACGCGCTGAATAGCGGTATATATGCTCATGTTTGAGCAATATGACGTCAAACTCGGTAACGGCTTATCGGAATTGGAGTAATTGCAGTTACCGACACACGACGATGTCCCGCCCCCACACATCCAGCTACAACTGGACACATCCATCGCCAACTCCGTGAGCTTTCGTACACACGTAGTGTTGATAGCACGGGCGTTTTCGATTAATTGTTTTACATGTTCCTTATCCATGATCTACACAGGAAAAGGGAGAGTGCGGTCTGCCGGCTTTCTACACAACGCCGGTATCTTAAGTATCTCTGTGTTATCTCTGCACTTATCCAATGTAATGTTCAACGTAATTAAATTGTGTATAATATAACACAAAATACTAAGAGATGACTTCAATCGAGTTTGTTCCCAAATATCAATGGTAATCACTTGACAGTAATCCTTTATATCCACAACTGACGCTGTGAGCGATAATAAATAGGAATAATGATTCAAAGCAGATCGCTCAAGTCAATTTATGTAGTTAGTAGTAATTATTTCTCTGTGGGATTGTGCATCATACCTGTCACTTTAAGTTCAATTCCATAAATCGAACTTCTTGTAAATTTGTACACGATATTTGTCACTCTTGATTCCCTGTGAGACTGAACACGATATTTGTCAGTCTTGATTTCCTGTGAGACTGAACACGATATTTGTCACTGTTGATTCCCTGTGAAATTGTACACGATATTTGTCACTGTTGATTCCCTGTGAGATTGTACACGATATTTGTCACTCTTGATTCCCTGTGAAATTGTACACGATATTTGTCACTCTTGATTCCCTGTGAAATTGTACACGATATTTGTCACTCTTGATTCCCTGTGAAATTGTACACGATATTTGTCACTCTTGATTCCCTGTGAGATTGTACACGATGTTTGTCACTCTTGATTCCCTGTGAGATTGTACACGATATTTGTCCCTCTTGATTCCCTGTGAGATTGTACACGATGTTTATCACTCTTGATTCCCTGTGAGATTGTACACGATGTTTGTCACTCTTGATTCCCTGTGAGACTGTACACGATATTTGTCAATCTTGATTTCCTGTGAGATTGTACACGATATTTGTCACTCTTGATTCCCTGGGTGAATGAACACGATATTTGTCAATCTTGATTCCCTGTGAGACTGTACACGACATTTGTCACTCTTGATTCCCTGTGATATTGTACACGATGTTTGTCACTCTTGATTCCCTGTGAGATTGTACACGACATTTGTCACGCTTGATTCCCTGTGATATTGTACACGATGTTTGTCACTCTTGATTCCCTGTGAGATTGTGCACGATATTTGTCCCTCTTGATTCCCTGTGAGATTGTACACGATATTTGACACTCTTGATTCCCTGTGAGATTGTACACGATATTTGACACTCTTGATTCCCTGTGAGATTGTACACGATATTTGTCCCTCTTGATTCCCTGTGAGATTGTACACGATGTTTGTCACTCTTGATTCCCTGTGAGACTGTACACGATGTCTGTCAATCTTGATTCCCTGTGAGATTATATACGATTTTTGTCACTCTTGATTCCGTGAAAAATTGTACACGATGTTTGTCTCTCTTAACTCCCTGTGAGACTGTTCACGATAGTTGTCATTCTTGATTCCCTGTGAGAATGTACACGGTTTTTGTCATTCTTGATTCCCTGTGAAACTGTACACGGTTTTTGTCACTCTTGAGTCTGTGAGAGATTTATACGTTTTTTGTCACTAAGAAATTTCTGGGAGATGTTTTATACTTCCCTGTGAGATTTTACACGGAACGAACTCGGTTTTGCAATGTTACTATGTAAGAGCCCGCCGATTGGTCATTCCTCGTTGAATTTCCATTGGTGACCCGTTGCGCACTAAGTCACTGTAAATACATAGGATCCGCACGCTGTGTTGGTTAAGTTCGGTTGATATGACATTTTTTTTTTTTTACGTCAAACCGACATTTTATTTTTTTGTGCACAAAGTTTTATGATAATGGTTTTGTTACATCCATGTTAAAAATCCACAAGCGCTCCTGCAAGGCCATAACTACCACTCCGTATATTATTACCACAGTAGATGTGCAGCGTTGTCGGCATTTGTTAAAACGTCCGTCGGCAACAGGAAATACATCCGTGCATTAACCGGATGTGAAGAGGAGGGAGCACATGTCAATCAGAGACTCGTTTTTAGTATTTGAACAAGATAGTGACATGTTTTCACAAAGCGCAGCCATATAATCGTGAATAACGATCGCGTTTCAGATCGATTTTCGACACGAAAACAAACAAGCCTTGGACACTCATAAGGCCATTTAACCGCTTGAGAGGTGCGAGGGGTATAAACTGATCGAGCTCGTAGTACTTTAAACTGGGACTGTCATTCTTTAAAGTTATGTCCAAAGTTAAGAACCATCGTAACTGCTTGAATTCTTTTTCTAAAATAAATGTACGGTACCTTTCCTCACAGAAAAATATTAATTTACCAAATATCAGGGGCAACTAAATTTGATAACTCTATGGGAACACCGGCGTTATTTCTATTTAGCAACTTGATATTAATGACAGAAGTTGTCGTATGGTTTGTTTCGAGTCTCTGGAGATAACGGACGAAGGCCAGATGTGCCATTAAACTTAACACATAGGGACATGAGCATTAATCCCAGTATGTCTGTAAGTTTAGATTACTTCTGATGTAGGGCGTATTTTGAGGTATCTTAACACTCGGTGAAAATGCCATCCCAGAATTTCAGTTTATAAACCCCTACCGTCTATTAATACCCACTAGACATCAACATACGTCTAATTATGATACTTTATTTAAAACTAAGGCCTCTTTGTATTTACCTTCAAGTTTCTAGCGGCGCATATGGTCGGAGTGTGTCGGTAATGACGGATTAAACATAATGGCGGATACGCTGTGACTGACAAATACGTTTAAATTATATATATTTAATTTAGCAAAAGTTCAATAATTGTATTTTGTTTCTTTCAGTACATTAGCGAGTTTTCCGTTTTTCAAATAGTTTTTACATCTTTGACAGTAAAGTTCCTGACGACAAAAATAAAATATATCTATTAGTGCGATGGCCGAAGTGAGCCATGTACTGACAACGATAGAAGTGGTATAATTGTTCATACTGTAACGTCGTGGAGTGTGTTTCCAGTGTTAGTGTATTATATTTGATCAAAGGTATATTCTGGTTACTCCATCTTGGATCCGTCTGGTCCTGGCTCTTGGCTCCTTTGGTTGTTCTGATAACTACTCTACTTCAACAACAACTCGAGACAGAAATACAATTTAACTTTGATATTTATTCAAATCACAACTTCACATCTACAAACACTGTACACAATGGCATCCTTAATTAATATATAATAGAAATTGAGAATAACGACGGAGTGCCGTTATAAATAAAAGTGATGAGTAAGTATCCTTAATGGATACTTAAAAAATAGTAAGGGCTAAGTATCCTTAATATATTGTAACAACTTCGAAGTAGGTCTTAAGTAATGTTGGAAAATGTTTTATCTAAGACCTTTCATAAATAATGACGTTAATTTATGTCTAAGTAAAATATACTAGTCCAAAATAGCTAAGTATCACCCCCGTGGTTAGGCGGACTTAGAATATATTCTGGTGTTATTCTTGGCGTATCATAACATAAGGTCATTAAGGAGACTTGTATCTATATGTATTGTATTGGAGACGGGAGAGGGTAGGCCTACTTAGTCACTACGGCAGTAGTTACCTCCATGGTCCTGGTGTTTAGCTGAACTCTGGTAATAAGCTTGGTTGCTTGGACTGTGTAGGAGGGTAGGAAAGCCTGGCCGCTTGGTTAGGAGATCATGGGCGAACTCCGTTGAATCTGCCGCGGGATCCAACTTTGATAGCCTTCTCCAAAACTTCTGACCAATCAGAATTTAGTATACTCGGGTCTCTCGGCACGGAACACTTTAACTAAATAACTCAATAAAGCCCGAGAGCTCCGAACGCACATCTGCAATGGCCGATGAGTCGTCTGTTTGACAGGCTTTCGCATAGCATAAACATGGATTACAAACAAAATACAACAAATCATGAGTGACGACATAACAACCTATAAAGAGAATGTTCTCAACATACTAGGCTGTCGTATCTACGAGTCGGTAAGTGATTATTCCAAACGCACGGAACAGAAATGTGAGAGCATGATTCTAAATATAGCGCACGACTGACGTAAACTCATCACCGACTCGATGATTCTAAACTTGTAAACACGAACTGTTTCAATTGAGACAATATTAAATGGTATCATAATTAGATAACTTGTAACTAAAAGACATTTACTATACAGGTTTATTAGGATAATAAATGTAGTAGACAAATAACGAAGTTATTTATCAATACACAGACTATAGCAGGTAGGCAAATGTACAGTCGTTCCAATACATAACTTGACAAAGTGACAAAGTGACATGTCAGCACACACTAGTGTTAGTGGTATAGTTGTACATGAAAAACTTGACAAAGTGACAAAGGGAAATAGTGTTTGCTGCCATGTAACTTTGTCAAGTTTTGCATGTACAACTATACCACTTCTATCGTTGTCAGTACATGGCTCACTTCGGCCATCGTATATTCGTCCATTCCATCGATTCAGCCATTTCAAAACTGTTCTAAAATGTTTTAAGTTTCAGAATCCTGATAAATGGAGGGACAAATGTCAGCCCCTCTCCCCGCAGAATCGGGATGTTACCAAAAAGACAAGCGTACATGTAAATGTGTTGCGTTTGTAAGTGTATTATTATTGGAAATAGCAAACTTAAACTCTTTTATACCGAATGGACACTTGGTTCGTCGGCTTTTTTTATACCGAATGGACACTTGGTCCATCGGCTCTTTTGTACCGAATGGACACTTGGTCCGTCGGCTCTTTTGTACTGAATGGACACTTGGTCCGTCGGCTCTTTTACGTATTGTCAGTCTTTCATTCCCGCGGTGTTTTCTAGGTACATCCTCTGATCAGCCCGTTGTTAGATTTATTTGACTTGTACCGTCCAAGTTATAGTCTTACCAACAATTCTTACTTGAGACATTCTGATAGATGTCAACTGTCAAAAAGTGAAAAGAGGCTACGTTTAAGTTATCTTACCGCGTGATGACACTTTTAATGACCCTTGCGCGTGGCCCTACTACCATCAACAGTATATTGTCATATGATCATAAACGTCGCGAGAACGCCAATCTAATTACAATGTATGATTTAATATTTCGATAACATTTCTTTCTCTCGCCTTTTCCCCAAAAAAATAACCCGTACATTTATACATGTATGTATTTGAAAGACCTACGTGGGGCAGTCGCGAGGTACTGACCGTAGGTCGGTGTTTTTCTCTGGGAAATCCGGCTTTCCTCCACCACCAAAACCTGGCACCTCCTTAAATGACCATAACTATTAATAGGACGTAAAACACAAACAACCCAAACCAAACAGTTCTCTTTTGATATCGATGTTCAAGATGAAAAAGTATAACTTTAAGGTTGTTGATAAATAATAGTGGTTCTTAACTTGTTGGAATCACGATTCACTTCAGTTGTTTAACACCGAGACATTTAATATGGTAAAATACCTGTAAACATCCAACCTATCTTTGGAACCTATATCTAGGGTGTTTGTGATACAGCTACATAGTATAGATAACAAGATTCCGCGGTTTCGAAGAAGCTTTGGATTTTGTGTAATTTCAAGCTAACTATGCATGGTGTCAGTTTATCTGCAGTTAGCAGTGTAATGTAAACAATCTATGTCGGGCCGACGTATCCCGTGTAAAGTCGACAGTGAGCAAACATCTGTTGATAGGTCCAAATGAAAGTTTCAGACGATAGATAATGAAGCGTTGATTTCAAAATTTGAATTCACGGACATATTTCTTTTCCATGTTATATCTGATTTGGGATATTGATGGAGTTTCAATTTAAACAAGTTTACTGTGTTCATATTGTAGAACAGATCTGTCAGTAATTCTGTTTTAATTTTAAATTATTATATGTATTTGTTGAATCTTCACTGGTCACCGATTGTTAGAAAAACGAGCCGCAGCTTAAAAAATCAGTCCAGAAGGAAATCAAACACGTCGCACTTTTTATAATTAAGAACTGAAGTTACGAGGATGAGAGTACGAACGAAGATGTCCAAATAATAAGAGTTTATATTTTAAGCATAACATATTAACTTCATATTAACAGCAAAGTTCATTTAAGGACGTGCTTCTGTGTTTGTGCAATTAAAAAGATGACGATTGCCTCCCCTTATACAGAGTGGACGGCCGTCACTCGAATAAAAAGTAAAAAAAGACCCTCTTGATGGATCACGGAGGATGTGTACGTGCTGGAGGATACAACGGAAAAGCTAAATGCGAATTGTTGTTGCATTTGACATAAATCAATGATTCTGAAAACTCGCATATATTGGATGTCTTTTTACACATATTTTGCACGGGTTTTTACGTTTCATTCATGTACAGCACCCCCGAAAGATACAGTACACGGAATCATTTCGAACTCCCGAGCACCCCCTCGACCAACCCCATCGCTAACAAGAGACATTAAACGGCCAAAATCAACTGATCACCCCCTTCTGCTATTTCTCAAATGTCATCAGATTCAAATATGACGGCCACAGCTAGGGACCTGAGAATTTGTTACAGCTATATTTTGACCTAAACTAATGTGTTCAAGAATATTTTACTTGTTTATGGGGTTTAGATCGACTTTCGGTAAAAATGACACCCCAATGATCATATAACCGAGCTTTCTAAATTATATGTTAATTGGGGGTGTCATTTTTACCGAAAGTCGATCTAAACCCCGAAAACATGTAAAATTACTCTGAACATTTTAGTTTTGGTCCAAATATAGCTGTAACAAATTCTCAGATCCCTGTGATGACGGCGACTTGTGCCACCGGTCAACAGTTCTTTGCCAATCAAACACCCCTACCAAACCAGTTTCAGTAGCAACTGTTGATGAACGCACTGTCGTCTCAAGGGGCCCTCCCTCAGCAATGTATACAGCCCCGTACCGTGAGCAATAGTATATCTAACTCGGACATAGACCGTATTGCCAAAGCTGTTCGAAAGTAATTACTGGAAGATGCCGTGTTCTATATGCTACTGGCGCATGTGGGATCAATCTGGGCCCAGCCGACGTAGAAAGGTCTCATCCTGTAGGGAAATCCGGCCCCACCCAATCCAAGACCGCCAAAATACCATGCGTCTACGCTCTGTTGACACT